GGGCTCCAAGTGTGTGATGGTTGATGGGAGTGAACCTGTGACGCTGGGATTCACTGCTGAACCCTCTGGAGGTGTCGTGGGCCTATCAGCGAAACACCCAGGAAGGAGGGTGCCCACTTGAAAACCCAAGGGATGCCATCACTCACTTGATGGCCACAGCGTAGCATCGGCGCCTTAGGTAGTTTTTGGGACCTAGTCCTACTCAACAGAACACCTAATGCATGTACAGTACCCTAATCATACGTAATGGAAAAAATCTGCGAAGTCGTGGATCCGCGATAGTCAAACTGCAAAGTAGCGAGGGTTCAGTGTATACAATTTCATCCAGGGGCAGGGTTCTAATTTTCCACTGGTTTTATAAAACAAGGTGATTCAAACAGTCAAATTTTAAATGGATTTAATTTTCTTTTTCACATACCGGTAATTTTAAGTACCAGAAAATTCAAATGCTAATAAGGTAATGAAATGTATGTAAATTATAAATTGATGCAGTTAATACATGTAGCAATAGCCCTGTTTCCTTCCAAAGATGCAAATTAAATGCACAAAGATATAGTGCAATTTTGCATTTAAGATATAGTGCATTTTTGCATTTTACATATAATTTTATCCTTGAGTTTATAAATTGTACAAAAAATATATACATTTTTGGAACAAGAAAGGTTGCTCTCGTGTGGTTCTCATGTGGTTCTGCTGTGTTTAATTTTTTTTGCAGCCAGAAAAGCAGAGGTTCGATTCAATTCACTGAAGCAGGAAGGAAACGAGCTGGTGAAGAACAGTCAGTTTCAAGCTGCTGCTGACAAATACAGCGAATGTCTGGCCATCAAACCCAATGAATGTGCCATCTACACCAACAGGTAACCAGTGTTTATCAGAAAACCACAAGCTTGATTCACACCCGCATTCTAAAGCAGGCTATACATGTAGAGAAAGAAGTATTTGACCCTCTTCTGCCAACATTCATCATTAAGTACATGTTTTCCAACAATGAGAGAGAAAATACGGATAAATCCAGCAAAAGGGAATTGAATAAAAATAAAAAAGTTGTTCCTGGCTCCCAGGTGTGTTTATGCTGATGATTAGCTCAGATTCCCAAATCTCCACCAATGACCAAGCCCGAAGATCTTTCCAGGGATGATCATGGGAAGGATCTTTCAATGATCACAGGGTGGCCAGGAGCCACTAGAAAATTCGTCATTTACTCTTTATAACTCGCTGAGGATGTGGTAAATCACTTCCTAATGCCGAATACGCAGAATAAATAAACACTGCCAGAGGGGGGTACCATCACCCTTTTTGCTCACAAGATATAAAATGTTAATAATTTAGAAATAATAAAAGTTTAATTTAGAAAAAATAAAAAATTGACAATTGTTATCTGCATGTTTAATTTATCTGGAAATAATTTAATATAAGGCAAAATTCAACCTCTTATAGACGATTTCAGACTTCCCATGGTGAACACTCATTCGCCACATGATTACACTCCGCCAATGGGTCCAGCTCAAATGAAATGTTTGCTTACAAAGGCTTTATTTTAGTTTTGCTTTTGATCCGCGCGTATATAGCTTTTAGTTATAATTATTTGAATATAACTATTAATATAAATTAATTAATATAACAATGTAATTACAAGGTGTTCACAGCAGAACGGCCTTTTCTTCTAATGTGAGCTGCACAGACACTGTTGACTGTGGTGTAAGTCAGGCACAGGGTGACGAGTATTAGACTCAAATAATAAGCTTTTTTAGGTTATCACCAATTTGGCACAAAAAACAGTTTAGCTTCTACTATTTATAAGAGAGTAACAATATATTGTGGCAATATATGTATAAACAACAGCAGTAAAACCATGTGGGAAACAAAAGGATCTTTCTAAAATGATGAAAGATGTTTCATCCTCTGAGTGCACAATTGTCAGTGCCACCTAGAGGCCAAACATTATTACACGCTCTGATAAAAAACAAACTAGCCTCTGGCATTCTTTGCTTTATGGTCCTCAAACTTTTCACATTTATTTTAGAGTGATACGTTTACATGTTGAAAGGGGGTTCAGTAAAATAGTACATTTTATGCTATTAATCGCGATTAAAGGACATATTTTGGACGTAAATGTAAAATGTAAATAATTAATCTAAATTCAAAATCAATTTTCTCATGTAAACTACATAACTGTAATAAACCATCAAAATCTTTATATGTATATTTATACTCACTTATTTCCTGCAACAAACATATTTATAATAGTTTGTTGATGACAAACAAGTAATTTAAACATAAAATGAAACATAAAAGACCCTTGTAAGTGAAACCTGAATAACAAAAGACTTCACCAAAGGAGGAGGACTACACTAAATGAACAAATGACCAGGCTTTGCTTCTGAGCTCACTAATAGTCACGTGGAAGGCTTGTGTTGCAGGAAATGAGTGAGTGATCATGTGACGGAACTCGGATCACATGACCAAGGCAGAAGTAAAAACATGGGGAAAACTGCGAGAAAGGCAGAAAATAAAGGCATAAATATAAAAGTCCTTCCTTGGTCTTATCTATATGTGTTTGCACGTTGAACACACGGAAATACAAAAAAAACAGCAACCGTGTTAAATATTTCAAATTTATGTGTTAATTTTCACAGCACTCGTTTTTAATTGATATCACAATGCATATCAATTTGTGAGCATAATAGCAGGATGTGTATGACATCGTTAGCAGAGTGTATTGTTACATCCATAATTAATTATGCTAAGTATGCCTGGAGTGTCATTCCTGGAAGTCCACATCCCTGCAGGTTTTAGTCACGACTCTGGTTTGCTTCACATACCAGTTCCATCAAGTTTAGAGGATCGGAATAACTGTTCTGTTGTTTCAAAAAAAAACTGTGGACGGCTGCAACTTTCTAGGATTGGCTTTAGACATGTCTATCACATAGAAGCAAGAAAGCTTGTGGTGCTCTTCTGTCTCTAATTTGATGGAATCTTCGAGAAAGTGCTGCAGCTGCTCACTCGAAGCCATTCAGTCAACAATTCGCTCAGATCACCCTAACACAAATCATTTCTGAAGAGGATCAAGCTGTTTTTGATACATACATACATACATGCATACATTTTTTTTGTACAACCCCAGCTTGCTAATACATTTTTTTTAATACATTACACAGCGATTACACAACAAACCTGAAATTTTACAAAAGAAAATTATTATAGACCTTTAAAATTGTCAAAACAAATGTGAAAATTGTATAAAAACACCATTTTAACATTTATAAAACACTAGCCATCTCGCAGGTCTTGAACTTACAAGGGTTATCCCTTATGACACCGGTTTGGAATCTCTAAAATAAAACTTGCATTTTCTATCATTTTATTTTGAATTACCTTGCAAATTAGTGTCGTGATTCTTGGTCTAAACTATCTAAAACCAAAAATATAAAAACTAACCTTTTGAAATCCTGTATATTATATTTGAAATTACAGAATAGTTGGCTTGCATAATTTTTAGATTTTATAATTTTTTTATTAGATTCAACTTTATCTGCATTACACACGTACAAGGTAAAGGTAACAAAATGCAGTTAGAAGTGCAATAGCAGTAAAGTGCAGGATACAGGTGAGGGGTATATAAAATATTCAATGTATGACTAATAAAAAACTATGGATGCTACTTATAGATGTGCTATGGGTAATAATTGCAGATATGAATTATATAAACCGGGTATGCAAGTAGATTATGTGCAAAACAGATATGTGCATTTCTTAAGTTAATTCCTACTTGATTCTAAACAGCCGGTGTGATTGTCACATGCAGAGACTTCTACGGGTAAAAGAGAGCCCATATGTTGTGTTTTCCAGAGCGCTGTGCTATATCAAGCTGCAACGTTTTACAGAAGCCAAGCAGGACTGTGATTCTGCAATTCTGATCGAGCCAAAAAACAAGAAAGCATTTTATAGAAGAGCACTGGCGCACAAAGGCTTGCAGGTTTGATATTTGACTTTATAAATAATGCTTTTACAACCAAAACATCTTAAGTAATGGTTCTGTATCTCATTCCGACGATATGATTGATTGTATCTACACTCTTGCAGGACTACCTGTCAGCCAGCACTGACTTACAGGAAGTACTGCAGTTAGATCCAAATGTGCAAGAAGCGGAGCAGGAGCTGGAGATGGTCACAAATCTGCTGAGAGAAAGTCTACTGGAGAATGCTCAAGGTAATCTTTCTAGTTCTCAACAACTCTCCAATGCTTAAACCATAGACCATTAAGCTTCTCGATTTTCCTTCATCTCCATTGCAAATAAACTGCGGCTATTGGCTTTTGTTGGTCAGGTTTGTTGCAATTGCATTGGATCGCGTGTTTGAAACAACTCTCATCATCATTTCACTATAGTTCAACGATAAAAAAAAGTCAAGGTGGCTTCGATGACTCTTGAAAGAGAATATAAATTCACTTTTTTTTCTCGAACAAATGAAAATAAAATGTGTTCACATTAAGGTGCAACTGGAATCAACGAGTTGGGCATCAATCAAGTCTTGTATTTTGTTTACAAATACAAAAGAGCTTTTGTGATACAAAAAAAAACGTATTGTCATTTTCACAATTTGGTAAAGCCCATTGAATCCATTTTAACAAAGACTAAGACCCAGTGACCCAGACCTTTACATGCACTGCATCTAGACCTCTACCAACATGCATAAGATTCACCCTGAGACTAAAGTGTTGATTATCAAGAGGTTAAAGTCCAGATCCTCTGCTGATGGATATCTTCAGTGTGTCTCAACGTCAAGTACAGAGGCTAAACAAAAATATTTGAAGACACTGGAGATGTTTTGATAAGCCCAGGTCAAGCAGACCCTGAAAGACAGCTGTTGAGTGGTTCATGTCAATACACAGTTCGCCAATTCACACAATCTGCAAAATGTTTCGAAATACGTCACGGTTTCCCTGTAGGACGTAATGTCACAATGGAAATAATGTATGGTGAGTAATGTTTTAAACAGTTTCCCGTGGCTCAGTTGGTAGAGCATTGCGCCAACACCGCAAAGGTCATGGGTTCATATACCATGATTTGGATAGAAGCGTCTGTCAAATGCAAAAATGTAAAGTGTTCATTGTTTACACACAATGTTATTTAATGCCGTATCCACCAGCCCAAGAGCCAAATACTGCCAGATGGCTGCGTAAAAGGGATAACTTTGTCATGTTCTCCCTTTTTATCCACAGTATAATGTCTGCTGTAAAATGTATTCATCCCAATACCACCAGGTACAGGAAAGCCGTGACTCTTTGCAAATCGTGTGACTTTGCGGATGGTGTTCTGTAGGGCAGGGTACAAGGAAACCAGATCTTGTACTGACTCTCTTATTAGTAAAAACACTGGAGACAGGTGAAAAAGAACACAGCAATGTACAGCATTTTATTTTTTTTATAAAAGATAATAAACAATTCATTGAATTTATTAGGGCTGGGTAAAAAGTTGATTCTTTGTTTTTAATCAATCTTCGGCTTAATGCAACAATATCCATTTTGGTATTTGCCGAATCGATTCATAATGCGTGTTCTTCAAGTAAGAGGATATAAATATTCACCTATTGTTAAAATAAAAGTTTAAAATAAACACCCTATTATTAATGTAGATGTGTACGTCAGTAATAAACGTAAGTAGGAGACTTATCAGCATTTATATCAAATATGGATCCCATGTCTGCAAAACTAACATTCGATATCGAACCGAAACTGAATCGAATTGAAACCATAAAAAAACGAATTGAATCGATCATTTGAAGATATCTGCAATATAATTAGAGATATCTCGAAATCATTTGCGATTAGTCATTAATCTAATTGCAGATATCTACAATTGTAATTCAGCTTGTGATAAATCATTTAGAGATATCTCTTATTCAATTAAGACTAGTAACAATTAAATTGCAGATATCTCAAATTCGCTATATTTAAAGATATCAGCAATACATTTGGAGATATCTCTAAATGATTTATGACTAGCCAAAATACAATTGTAGATATCTGCAATTAGAATAATGACTAGTCGCAAATGATTTAGAGATATCTGCAAATATATTTACGACCAGTCGTAAATAATTTAGAGATATCTCTAAATATACCGCAGATATCTTTAAAAGAGTCACGCCTAGTAAAAATATATTTAGAGATATCTCTAAATACATTTGCGACTAGTCATAAATCAATTATCTGAGATATCTGCAAATATTTTTCAATGGAAGTCAATGGAGATTTACGACTAGTCATGAATGATTTAGAGATAGCTTTAATTATATTGCAGATATTTTCAAATGAGTTTTGACTAGTCAACATATAATTGGAGATATCTAAATTCACTTTCTTACTAGCGGAATTAGAATAGAGAAGATATCAGCATTACTAGTCACAATACATTTATTGCTATCTTTAAACGCATTTGCGGAGTCAGGTCAGATGTTTAAATGTTAAAGGGGCTTGCCATATGCGTTCGTCTTTTGCGTGGGTGGAAATGACGCATGGGTTTGAGCGGGAAAGTTTTCTTCTTTCTTTCTTAAACGGTAACTTAGCATCAACTTAGCATTAATTTTAACGAATCAAACACTTATATTATGTAAATATATAAGTGTAGTATGAAAAACAAAATATGGAATAAAACTTAATTATGAAATTTCCGTTTTCCATGTTGCTAAATGACCACTAGAGGGCAGAATAGCATGAGTATTACTAAAAGACATGGTAAATGAATGATTAAAATTTTCATTTTTCTATTACATTAAGTCTACCTGTAAAAATTTACCCTAACAAATGATATCAATCACATTGGTTATATTACAAAATCAGGTAATATTAACAAGTTCCTTCTCAGCCTTTATCTAAAGCATCCATTTAATAATCTCAGCCTAGGATATGAATAAGATTCAAGCAAGAAAGATGTTAATGCAGCTGGTGTGGTTGTTCACATTAAATCTCTACAGAAACGAAATGGTGCGTACATCTGAGGTTAAAGGTGCGTTAAAAAGACTTACGGTTCTTTGTAGGTTGACGGATGAAGCAACACCTTTGAGATGAAGCTTTTGGAAGAGAGGATATTCCTTGAAAGCCTGACAGAACGGATCCACCTGAGGCCTCCAGCTCAAGAGCTCCACGCCACCATCATCCCACCCTTGAGACGGTCATGCAACCAAAGTTCCAATCAATCAACCACTCATATCACCTACTGCAGACTGAAGCAGTGCTGACGATGCAAAGCATGCCAAGAGTTCCTCATCCCATTCTCCGGCTTCAGTAGATATGTGAGCATGCCGCGGCTGGGATCTGTGCAACACAAGGGGTTTCGGGGGGTTATTGGGGATGCTGTGCGTATGAGAGAGACTGTGCCTTTTATGATAAAGCTGTGACTCACACTCTTGAGTGATTTCACATTCTCCAGATGAAATTGTATAGGAAGATTTAATTTGCTACATTCAAATTTCTCAGGATGTAATATATTTTTAAAAGTGAGTACATAATATTATGTAAAATAGACATGCGATTTGTAGTTTTTTCATCTTTAATCTTTAGCTTATAACCATTGTGTTAATATTCATCGCTGAACACAACAGATCAGAAGGTTTGAATGAACACTGTCTGGTTTCTTTCTTTATGAAATGAATTAGAATTTATTTGCATCAGTGAAAAAAAGGCTTTGTAAGTGACCGGGTGAAAGTTTTAAGCATTTATAATTTACTTCATACAATAATATCAGTGCATCTCAATAAATTACTGAAGTAGTTTACGTCTTTGCTTCTTTTCTTTGTGATACTAGGGATGTAACAATATTTCATGGCACATTAGATCCCAATACAAAATTGTCACAATACGGAGCTAAAGTGTATTTGGTTCTTGATGTGATTCTAGTCACTTCTGAAACTTCTTTACCTTGTTTTATTCTAGTCACTTCTGAAACTTCTTTACCTTGTTTTATGTAATATTTACTAGGAGAGGATTATCCTTTACCCAGATGAGAAAGGTTATAAAATTATCTTTAGAGTACAAAAGACGACTTAACACAAACATTAACACTGCCCCCTAGTGGATGAATGGTATCAAACGCTCTCAAACAAATCAAACTAGACGCTAGCCTTCTTAGCTTTGTGGTCTCAAAACTTTAAAATCCTTTTTTTTTTCCAATGATGGTTTGTTTTATATATAGTTTTTTTTAAGTGTTGTACAATATCGTGATGGGTATCATAACGTAGACTTAATATCGAGGGATGTATCGAATCTTGAGCAGAGTGTATCGTTGCACCCATAATCATTATGGATCACATTTAACATCTTAAGAAAATTGAAATACTTTATACAAACGATTTTCCTGAACATTTTACCTGCTGGAGAATATGTTAATTTGCTGTACTTTTTTAAAAAAGATGGGGGAAGCCTCATGGTAAGTAAAGCAGAAAGTCACAATGTAGGATTTTTAAGCATTTTTTTGTGATGTGCTTCTAAAATACGGTTCCTTACATATAAGTAAACCCAGAACTAAATAGTCCCTGACTTTTGAAACTGTAACTAAACTTAACTGCTCTATGAACCATTCCACCAAACGGGTGCCATCTGCTTGTAGTAACTTTTCAAATTGTGTTTTTATTTTATTTCTAAACAGGTTCCAGTAGCAAACATTCTTAAGTGTGCCACATGGTATTGGTCCATTTTAAGTAACTTATTTAAATGTTCTATTAGATTATAACCATAAGATGGGTGCCATTTTTTTCTTGTTACTAACCCTCTTGTTATTCTTTATATCAGTGACAAGACTGGAAGTTTTTAGCAAAGCATTAGCAAATACAGCTAAATAGCCACATGGTGCACATGGTTATACAACCAGACAATTCAGTGTTTTTCCAAATATCTGCATTTCTTTTCTCTAGACTAATTTAATCTCTTGAATAGTTTGAGTAACAAGATGGTATTTTTTTAAATGACACTCCAAGATATCTTCACAAAATGATCAAATAAGTAAATGAACATTGAGAGAATAACTTTGCTCTTTTACGGCTTTCTAAAGATCAACCTCCTGCTGAAAAACTGACTTATGGAAGTTGCCGTTTTTCAGGAAGGGGATGGGTAACAGGAATGAGTAAAGAGCTATGTTCATGACTAAAGTGTTTTTATATAAGAAAGTATCGATATTTGTGTAAATAAATGTATTTAAAGCACACATGTGGCATTGGGTCAATGCAAAAAAAAAGAAGTTATTTTTAAAAATGTAATCATTATATTTTATGGTGAAATGTAGGCACAAGCAATAATTGCTATTTTTCAGTGTTTTATGTGGATTTTATCAATATTTTGAATGTTCTAGCTTAAATTTGCAATAAGAACAGTATCTTGTACACGTTCCAATTTCCAGTAATAAAATGTATTTATGAAGCAATTTCATTTGCTTATTTATAAATAAAGTCCCATAAAATCCCAGGGACAGAAATGGCACTCATTTGGTGGAATGGCTCATAACTAACTTGTCTATTTCAGTGCAGTGTGTGTTTATGCATGCTTTTAAAGTGAATTAATTTTTGCTTTTTTGTCCAATATGTTCAAAAAGTGTTTTAATTGTTGACAAATAACCATAGCTCCATTAAAAAAAAAAAATTATATATATATATATATATATAATATATATATATATATATATATATCCATATATATATATATATATATATATATATATATATATATATATATAATTTTTTTTTTAATGTATATATATATATATATATATATATGTATATATATATATATATATATATATATAATCGGCTGTAAAAGATGTGGTTATGTTTACCAAAATATTTAAAAAATGTAATTACTTGATAATTACAATTTTGTGGTTGTTCTCTAATGTGAGTGTGCCCAGCTTTCCTGTGACTCAGTTGGTAGAGCATTGCGCAAGCATCGTAAAGGTCATGGGTTCATATCCCAGGGTAAGCAAGAACTGACAAAATGTGTTTATTCATTAAAAAAAAGTCCCTGCCAAATGCATAAATGTAAATGTGTGCGGGGCATTGTGGCTAATTGCTTTACGTAGTTACCATTTTGATAACAAAATTCAGGAAGAGCCGTCCAGCTGCAGGCACTGTTTCCACCTGCTTCAGCGTCAATTTATAGCTCCAGTGAGCTTTTGTCTGTTGGTGATTTCAAAAAGCACTCCTCCGACACACAGGAGTCTCACAGCTCAGGTCACTTCCTGGTTCTAGAGCCCTTTCATAGACAGCTCGGCAGGTACGCGTTCCATGCTCACCAACACACCTTGCATCACCAGTTTATAATATGGTGAGCTAGTGAATTAACAATTCAAGCATTATGCGGTTCAGAGTTTGTTTTTATTTTTTTTTATATTAGTTTTATGTTTGGTGTCTACGTTGAGTAAACCAAATAAGGGATCGGTTATGAATGGCACGTCATGTGCAGTAACTGTGTTTGAATCAGTTGCAATTAACACAATACTTTATAGAAAGGCATTGCAGTGAGGATAGGATTGGTGTGATATGATCATATTTTCTTGTTCTGCTGAGTTGCATATGTCTTCTGGCTTCTGCAGAGAGGTTTATCTTTGTATCAGCTGTTGGGCACATAGGCTGTAGCTAAGTTAGTAATGGACTCAGGGTTGAGCTTGTTGCTCGGAGGCCATCTCCCATCCATAATACGCACGGAAGCAGCCAGGGTTGTGAGAAGACTGATCCCTCTTGAGGGGTGGCAAGTGACAGTAGGGGCATGTAAATGTGGTGCATGTTTTTTGTTGTTATTTGTACCCATTTTTGTTGATTAATAAATGTTAAACTGTTTGTGTATGTTGTACTTTTATGTATTATGACAATAATGATTCATGTGCTGTTAGACTAGCCATTTGTGGTGTAACCCCAGCAATGATGCCATGTTCCGGATCAAATTGTCTATGTTGATTGGAGGCAATACAAGTAGTAAAGGGACTGACACTCTAAACCACTAGGGTCATATATTTAGTTATGGAACCATCCTAGGCATGAAAAATGTTAGTTACTAAGTGAGACTTTTGCTTGAGCATCCTTATATTTTGAGAATCTAACAGGTAGGACTTCTCTGATTTGAGAACGAGTGATGAATTTAACTACGAATGGTTTTACTTGGTACACGGTCTCAAGGAAACAGATGGGGAGGGTTGTCTTCGTCAGAGAGTGTCCTTTGGGAGGCAGATTGCTGAAGCCTAACAACGGTGGGGGAGGGATGTTGTTTATGTGTGCAAGATGTTTGGAAGGCTGATGATGAATTCAGCCTCGTGGGATGTGTGTGACGGCCAGACAGGCATGTAAGCCGTGAGCCCAGTAAAGACTACTGAAAATCTACCAAAGAATACTGTCTGTGTTGTAAATGAACAGAAGTTGAATGTGGGATTTACATAATTGAAATCTTTGCAGTTTTTTTTACAATGAAACAATGAACAAACACAACGCCACCTTAGAAGATTGCCAGTGGGTGACCCTCCTTGCAGGAGTTTTTGCCGTACTTGCATGGGGTTCCTCCAGGCAGTTTTCCCCAATCTTCCCCATATTTACTGAATACTGTAAATTACCCTTGGGAGTGAATGTGTTTTTTGCCCTGTGATGGACTGGTTACCTGTCCAGGGTGTACCCCCAGCACTCGCCCAAAGTCCGCTGCAGACAGGCACCAGCAGATCCCCAATACCCCGAAAGAGAACAAGTGGGTAGGAAGATAAAATGACACTACCTTGAACAAAAACCATGTTTAAGAAGTTGAGTTGATTTAAAAGTTGCCATTTCTTTAACAGATCTACAGTCCAAATGAAGCAAATTCCAGATCTTGGGTATAAAGTGTGATGAAGTAGCGGGGCTTATTGTTGCCAGGTGAAACTCATTCGGCCGGCGTGCTTTCCAGTTGCACATCATCAGGCGATGTGCAATTAGAGGCGAGAGACAAGCTGAGAGAGAAGAGTCATACCAATAAGCGTGCGGGAGAAGGCAGACTATTTCACTCCCCTGGGAGCAGCGGATGGACGCTGCGAGAGCCACAGGGAGCCAAAGGGGCCCAGGAGATGCCTGCTGACCAGGTCTAGTCTTGCCGTTGAGCCAGTTGAATCACTGGGGCTTGGCTGGATTCCCATCCCCTCAACGGGACTCCACACCTCTGGTCAGGAAACTCACATGCCACTGGACTGAACGGTGTAAAGGCACTCCGGAGGACCCCTGCACACTTCCCGGAGCCGTGCTCACCTGTCCGGCTCACCATTATCCCTGACAGAGAGCTGTCTTTCTTTTAATTGTTTATTGGTGCCATATTTTCAAATTTAAGCAGCAAAAATTTTCTTTTCCATGCGAACATGGGTTCAAGAGCAAATAAATTGTGGAAAATTAAGTTAGTCAGTAACAACTAAATTAATAAAAGAGACCCAACTCGAGTGCATGTTGCCAGCTAGAGGCTCTAAGTTGACCATACCCCTGTTAATGTGTGATTAGAGCAGTCATTTTCAGAGCATCCATGAATTTTCAAGCAGACAGAGCATCTATGAATTTTGGATTTCCACAACACCTGTGAACATAATATATTTAGTTTGAAATGAAATGAAGCTCGACGAACGAAGTTCTTTGAATAAATATTTTATTCTAGGTAAAATATCTATATACATATTTTTTTAAAGAATAAACACTTCTAAAATGCATTTACTGGTTGGAATAAAAACAAAAACTCATCTGCAAGTAGCATTTGCAATAAATCTGTGGGGTGCTGTTCTATTTCTGCACTTTTTCTCACTCTTCTTTACAATTAGATTCAGATAGAACAAGCTCCTAAGAAAATATGTTTCTTAATACATCCTGATGATTTTTAACAAAAATGGGGTTTCCATTGAAATCTGTGAGGGAAATTGGATGGGTCTGAGGAAAAGGGCAGAAAAAGTAGTTTAAATCCAGTGGCGATACTTAGTGTTCCCAGCGTTAAAGGGACTGGTGGAAAGATAAACCAGTGCCCTGTGATCATGTTTCTAAAGGGTCGAGCTCTGATGACAAAGGATATGAAACATCCGACAAACCTTTTCTGAAGTGCCTTCAAATCCCAATTTGAAGCGGCCCACTTCAGAACCAACAAGATTCCATGTACTTTTCCCTGAACACACAGTCAACAAATGAAATGACTCAAAATCAAACTTTAGACACATCTGCCTGTAGCTGGATGAAACACAGTTTTAAGAATATAATTTTATTCAGTAGAGAATGAACAATCTAAATTTTTAAAAGGATCCTGTAATAACCATTCTAGCTTCACAAATCTGAGCTAAACCCCTAAACCATAAGTTAAGATGTTTACCCACGACATCACATTTGTGTAAGTTCTTGGGCCTGTGTTCCTAATGTGATGTAAACACAGCCGTTATCCATACCAGGGTGGTAAGAGGAGATTTCAGCCAAGCTTGCTGTGGTGGAACAGATTAACCTACTACTACTGAAGCCTATGCTATTTCCATACCAACCCAACCCCCACCGCACACTCAAAACAAGCTTTACTCACTTAATGATGAAGGAAGTTCTCATAGCACAACAAGCTAGTCACAACTCCACATTATCCTACGGAAGTGTACATCTTTAAAAACGATGTGATAACAAGCACATTTTCATATGATCAGGCCATCTGAGATAACAGGAGATGCTCAGCGCGAACTGGGAAACCACATGCTTTACCTACTCTAAGTGTTAGCATTAGCGGATAGCAAAGAAATATTTGCTATGCACTAAATGGTTACCATCTCAGTTTGAGATTTGAAAATGTATGTATAGATGAAGTGTGTCATTAGAAATGTATGTTTAAAGTCTAAGGTTGAGCTAGTTTTAAGATTAATGAGGGGAAAACTAAGATTTAGCAATGGTAGCTAAACGTTTTCATTTTGCCACCATGATAATCACACTATGGTCAATGTAAAGTAATACATTTGTTTTGTTTCCGAAAATTTCTAGACGCTAAAATTGTTAATAGTTACATTAGGAACCGAAGGACTGGTTGGTTGTATATGTTCCATATACAACCAACTCCACCTCTTTTCCAAAAAAAATAATTAAAAAAACTTGAAGTGCCAGCCTTCCACAAGTGAAGAGAACATATTTGATCAAAATTTGGTATTATTTAATCAACAGATACAATCCATCGATCACCAATACATTTCTAAATGCTACTGGTTCTAATTGCCCCCGAGGAGCCAAAGCAGCTTCTGCAAAGTTTCAAGTAAACTCACATCATGTAAAGATACATTCTCCTAGGGTTGAGCGATAGCCTGCAATAAATAATTTATTAGGGATTATGGATTTATCTATGGCGTTTACAGAACTCCAATTTGATTTTACTTGGTCCAGTCCTAATGCATCCAATTGCAAAAGGTCGGGTGAACAGTTAATATTATTATAAAAGCACAGGGAACAGTTAATATTAAATTGAATTGTTGGAATTCACTTGCAAAACTTGCTTTTAAATTTTGGTTCTCTTGCCAAACTTGCTTTTAAATTTTGGTTCTCTTAACAATTTTACCAATTTGTTGTCATATTTTAGAGCAAAAACATTTAAATATACTGTATAAAGAGTTTTAATTGAAGATAGTTGGCTAAAGTTTGCACAAAAACTTTGATGTTGGCCTGAGAAAGTGCTGTTTAAAAATATTTTTATAAGCATAACACAATGGTTGCCAGGGTAGCATTTTTGGTTGCTATGGAAGAGTCAGTGCCCTACCAAAATGAGTGATCTAAACCAACCCCCATGCCTCTCAGCTGTAAAATTGGTTACTATTCTAAACAACCTGGTTGCTAGGGAGGGGTGAGTGACATAACATAATGTTCTTTTAAGTTACATAACTTTCATAAACCAACCCCCATGTCTATCGTTTACCAACGCTGAGATATAGCTATAACCAAACTAGGGAGCTGTCAGTGTTGTCTTAAAAGATGTTGGTTGTTACT